TAACTAGCTGGTTAGTAACTATGGCCAACTTAGGTGCTTAGAGCTAGGTGGTATAAATATCCCTCTAGAGTACATTAAGGTATGGTTGCATCAGTACTGAAATCCAGAGACATACTGCAAGTGAGGTGGTAATTGCACTGGCAGAGTTGCACAAGGAATGGGAAAAAAAAAGGGGAGATTGTAACTGAGAGGGGAAAGTTCATCATGTAGCTCTGAATCTGGAATATTATTTTGGATCACAAAAGAAAAGAATATCTATTTTCTTCTGGCATTCAATTTGTACACAGTTACACAATCAGCAAAATTTCTGAACAATACAGTAAGTATTATTCAAGAAAAGTCCGGATGGGGAATAGTAAGGACTATTGCAAATGGAGCTGTAAGGACGTCTGAGCCTGGAAGTGTGTCACTGAAGTATGTGCACTTGGAGTGTGAAGTGACGAGTTAGGTATCAACCGACATTGTCCTTGGCTCCAGCCAAGATCTTTTTAGTCCAGTATAGTGGCTGTCAAACATATCGTCATTAATAAATTCTCTTCCATCTCCTTGATGTGTCATTTCTTAGTAAAAAAGTTGTAAAGAAAGTCATAAAAATGGACAAACATGTCAGACCAAAGATGTATCTAGCCCATCTAGTCCATTCCTAATGTCTGAGAGCATGGATCCCCTGACAAATAAGAGCATGAAAAAGGCAGAAGTATACAGTTTGAATTTCCTGGTGTACCCTATCAGCCTCCTGTAATCTACAGCTCATTGACTTTGTGAACCAGAGGCAGTTTTCTTGTTTAATAGTTCATCTGCTTTTTACCATGACCACAGCTTCTTAATATAAAGTACTGGAGACTTGTGAGAAGTTAACAGTATACCCCATTTCGCCAACCCTCAGAAGAAATTTGAAAACATTATGGTCTAATATACTATTTCAAGACCTGGACTCAAGCTGCTTGTTGGTGCATAAGCTTGTTAGTGATAGACTACTCTTGCTTTTTCATTTCCCTTGCATTTATTCTATTGCTTCATTTTTATCTATTAATGGAGCAACAGACAGTGTAAATGTATTTCCTTTGTATATCTTTAAACTTTAGTATTTCCTGCTGTCATAATGCTTTCCTTCTTTCCACTGTTTTTATACTGTTCTAGTTTTTCACAAAATCTTCCTGTTTGCCATCTACCATCTGCTGCCAGGGTCTGGCTTTTCAGGTTTGATAAACATCTCTGAATAGCCTCTTCCTTCCCTTTCTTCCTCTTCTCCCATAAGAAACCTCCTCTGAAATGCGGAGTGAAAGGCCTTGACCAATTAGTGATGTGATAGTGCTAGTTATTAGAAGTTTTGTGTGGAGTATCTAACTAGATTTGTCATCCATGTAAATATGTACGAGCTTCTGTCAAACACAAAAGGTTTCACATGCCCCAGTGACTTTTCAGAAAGAGAGGTCCAATACTTCGATTTCCTCTCTCCCACTATGCCACATACAGACCATGCTAAATATCTACAGTACTAGAAGGAAAACATGACAAAAGTGCTGTAGCACAAGCTGTTTTGAGCCTAAGTGCTTCTCAGCCCACTTTATGCATGTGTGGAGGCATCTAAAATGAACCTTGGATCTGAAATCTCTTATCTAAATAAAAACGGGAGGGTCCAGGACAGAGCTGAAAACTTATCTCTGAATTGCCTGTCTTTTATGGTGTTTATGCAGACCTCTTCTGGTATATTTTTCATGGAGTAGGTATCCAGCAGTCAGTTTTGAGACTCTTATTTTCATTAATAATCAGTACTCAAGTGTGTGCCTGTTCAAGATGTTAAACATTCATATGTAGTTTTATAAGGCAATAATGCTTTGGGGTGCACAATGGGGCAAGATCCAACTGTAGAATAACTTACCCTCACTGGCATCACTCTATGTCCTGTGTTTCAGCTGCTCTTCCCTATTATGGGGCACCTTTCTAGTGCTGATTTTCTGATGACGTGATGTGTTGGCCATTACTGAGAAAAGGTGCTTTTCTCATTTGTGTTGGATCTTTTGCTTTAACTTCCCATTTGGTTCCTGATCTTTGTTTTCTCTTCTTTAATCGTCAGTCCTCATTTTTTCTTCTACTGTTTCTCTGTGTTTGTTTCTTTCCATCATCCTTGTCTCCCTTTTCAAATGTCTCTTTCCCCTTAACCATGAGGTTGCATTCTGCATAGGTTCTCGCATTGTGCTCCTCCCTTTGGTTTCTGAATGTCCTGATTCTCCTCAGTGTGGACTGCCCGCTTCAAGCATTAGTTGCAAGCAGTAGCTGTAGCATCTGTAGTGTAGCAACTGAGTTGCTACCAGAATTAGCATCTAATGTGAGTGGCACTTCCATTAATCCCTGACAGGACAATGCTTTATGCTGTCTTGAAGAGAGGGTGAGGATAAAGCACCATCTATCTGGGACTGGGCATCTACTGAACAATTGTAGTAGCACACAATGCTCCTTGTGGACACGTGTTAAAGGCACCTTTATCAGTTACAAAACAGAGCCATTTTAATTGGCACAGAAAGGAAAACAGTACTGCTAGAAAATCCCAAACGTCAAAGAAAAAAACCAAACCTCTTAAAGATTTTTAGAAGGTTTGTGTTTTTTTTCTTGGTACAGGTAGTTAGGAAATACATAACTAAAGAGTGAAATCCATCTTCTTCTTTCCTTTCCTTTTCTTTTTTTTTTTTTTAAATTAAAAAAAAAACCAAACAAACACAAAGAGAGCAGACAAAACCCCTAACCCCCAAATTCCCTAACTGACTGACAAAATGGAACAAACTAAGTAAATACCAAAGCATAGTAGTTTAGACAGGGGATTAGGGTGATGGCTGTGAAGAATGAAAGGGAAGGGCTACCTGTTCAATCAGGTAGGCCCTGGTGCAGTTACATGCCCTGCAGCCTTGGAGGACAATGGTCTCTCTTTGGGTGTCAGGACTAGCTGAGTCAACATGTCAACAATGGGTGAGTGGCAGGGCCACAGAAGACCTGGTGGATGTCATGAGGGAGGGGGCAGGCAGCTCCCCTGTTAGTTTATGGTATCACCTGCTGTATTTTCACTCCATAAAAATCCCAGTCTTATGCTCAGGGGGCCTGAAGCTGTTGGAGATTATTGAAAGAAACCATATCCATTGTTTCTAGACCAGGTGTGGTACTGTGATGGGAATGCAGACTTCTAAGGCGTTGCCTGGCCAGTACACAGTCATTCCCTGATTATCATTGGGTGAATGGTTGAGGTTTACCAAACCCTTCCTTCATCCAGCATCTTTCAGTACTGCACTGTACACTGTATGTATGTTAGATCGTGCCCTGCCCACTCTTATTCACAGCTGGCCTGCAGAAATCTGTCTACAAGTTTTCCAATGCTAATGCATTGAATAATATTCTTATATTTTACATTACCTTTGGTCTAGCTTCATCTGGGTTACCTTTACCATTCTTTGGTTACCCTGTGTAACTGAGTTGGCTGTCCTTCATCATCACGTGAGCGACTGAGGGAAATGCTCTTAAAAAAATTACAATGAGTTCCATTTCCAATTCAGTCTTCTGAAAAAACAAAATACCAGCAAACTCTTGAGTGGTGTGTGGACATTCGCATGTTATTTTACTAATGGCAACTTGGAGCTGATGCAGTTCAATACTTGTTTGCCTAACTTCAAACAGAGGAGCCTTGCCTTTGATGGAACTACTCAAAGTTTTTAGTGGCTATACAACGCATCTCAAGTAGCAGTCAACTCCAGTGCTTAGTCCTTATGCATCTGAGTTGCATTTTGATCTGGAGACAGGAGATTCCAAATACTTATGTCTCTGGTCTCTTGATTTTCTTGTTTCTCTGTAAACCCATGAAACTGAGCTTTTTGCCTTGTTTGCTTCTAGCACACATGCTTTTTTGCTGCATCAGCATAGTTTCTAGCAAACTTTGCTGTGATAAAACTCAGTTGTTGTTTCTTTTCTTTTTTCCTGTAATAGATTCCAAATTCATGAGGGAATAGGGGACAACTGAGAAATTAAGACAAGAGGCAAATATATTCAAAAGCGAAATTTTGGAGTCAGTTAGTTATTACAACATCATAATATGATACAAAGGGTGAAGATGAAGGACAATATTTCTGCTTCGAAAGACGAATGGCGACACTCAAAGATCTTTCAGATTCTGGCAGATAGTGGTTCCATAATGATACTTAGAGTCATCCAGTCTAGATATCCTATCCTTAGGAGAGATTTGTGCAGAGCCAGGAGTTCATTAGAAGTGAAATGGGTTTAAATGGTGACCTTCAAATTAGCCTCTATTAGAAGAGTTTTCCACAGGGATTGCTTGGCCCAGGTTCAAACTGGAAGCTTGGGGTGGGAGGTGTAATTCTGTCTCTAGA